GGTACAAGCTGCTGAAATGGGCTTTCCTAGACGAGTCGCTGGCCTTACGCGTCTCGACATGGTCCGGAATGGTGATATCCGGCAGAACCTTGGAATACACCTTTGCTTATCCAGATTGAGAAGTCACAGCTGCGATGGCTTGGGCATGTGTTGCGAATGCCTCCCGAAAGAAAGGCTAAGCAACTGTTCCTTGCAAATCTGACGGGGAAAAGGCCCAGGGGGTGGCCAAGTTTAACCTGGTGCAAACATATGGAAGGAGTCTGTTCAAGACTCCATTTGTCCTTTGTCGAAGCTCAGTCTCTGGCACCCGATCGGGAACGTTGGAAGCTCTGTCTGAAGTTTCTGCCTCCGCGACCCGAAAGGAGAAGCGGCGATGGAAGATGAAGATGAAGCAGATACATGTATGTCAACACATAGACGCTTATAATTAGATTCATTCATTTTCATTCTACGACTTCCAATGGTTACGGGAAGGCACTCGTATGAAATCTTCCCTTCCCGTGATTTCGGTCTTCCAAGTTAAACCTGTAATACTACAGAAGGATAGGCCTACAATCGAGCAATCCGATTCTGGCCTGCTTGCTGACCGTGTGCTATTTGTTCATTTAAAAGTCTCTCAAGAAAGTCTCTCTCACGCATTCCCCCCAAGAGAGTTAAGAGCAAGGAACAGCCAATACGCCGTAAAGTGTAGTCTTGGACGGGTAATCGTTATCAAACATACTCCGGCGTAGGAATATATTTTGATGGCTCTGCGATAAATACTAATTATACTAATCGCATGTATAAGCCGTAATATACCTTGAATCAGCTAGTACAACTGCGCCAAAGTCGTCCTTGTGCCGGATCGCACGACCCATCGCTTGGCAGACGGTGCGTACCGCTTCTAGAGTGTACCATATTTCACCGGTTAGTTTCTGGAACAACCACAAATCGAAACTGTAGTCACGGCAATCGAGTACCCTGCATTACCTCTTTTGAGCCTCGTTCGTTCAGAAACTCTTTCTTTAAGCAGACACGGGGGTCTAACATCGGTGGGTACGGGATACCAATAATTACAACTGTTCTCGCTGTGGCATCTGCAAAGTCGAAACCTTCACTTAACTAAAACAACAATGAAACTATTGAATGGGTAGTACTGGAACAAACGCCAGAGATATAATGATAACTGTGACGAACTTTCTATAAATAACTTCATTATGATCTACCCAGCTAAGAAGGATGCAAATTATTCAACTTAACGAACCTGAATAAATGATTCCTTGTATAGCGATGGAGGTTGGTGTACCCATTGGCCCGTTTGTTCGCTTACCGATGTTCAGTACTTTACATGACGATATATAATGTATATTTACGGGACGATTACATATAATATTATCTAAAAATCACAAAACATGACACTGGTTGACTTGCGCTGGTAAGTGTTTCTATAGAAGCAAACTTTCGGTTGACACTGTGTTCTCAATTGGTCAATCAAAATATGAATCTCGAATAATGAGGTAAACCACTTATTGCTCACCAGAGGGATGTCTAACTGGGTGTGCAGGCTTAAGTTTGGAGGCAGCGGATTTACTTTGGTGAATCGGTCATCGACGAACAAAGTTTTGCCCATGATTAAATTATTCGCTGCTCCAAAGCTTCGCAAATCTTGTCACTGTCATTTGCGATATCAGTCCTATGACGGATGAGCACGTCTAACAAAGATTCATCGGCAGCTGTTGCATTCAAATCCAAACTGACAACCGCCATATCGTAACTCCACAAATCTGTGGCAACAGTCTACAAATAATAAAGCTCCGATATGACGAACAAAACACTAGAAGAATACAGGATCAGAGACCGCGACGGCAGGAAGGTAACGTCTGTCAGAAATCTCGAAACTACTTTACCTTTCCGCGGCAGACCGCAAACATAATGGCGCCTCCTTCCTTTTGTTTGTCGGTAGCTGCCTCTTCAAACTCCTTCATCAAAATCTGTAGTTGTTCCTTGTTCCTTGTCTCAACAAACACCCGTTTAAGTTTCTTCAGTCTTTCAAGCACTCCGCTGGCCTGAAATGCAGTATGCAACGATCAACATAAAACAAGATGACAATATTTACATTCCAAAAGTCACAGCAGGCCGAAAGTTGGGAATAGGAAGCGAAGAAAACCAACATTCCTTGAGGGCACACTCGGCACATGTTCACGAGGGAACTTCCGAGTGACGAGAGGTAGGATTCGTTTTTACTGAAACAAACAAATAAATAAAAGCGAAATAACTCAGAGATAATGTACAACCAAAAACTTAAGCCCTTAATTTAATCTTTTCAGTCAGAGATTATGTAAGTACATTTGACACTCAATATTTTAAACACCATTTTAAACATCCTTTCTACAAAACCCAGTAATTAATCGAAAAATATACGCATATTCAACTGGACCGAAATTTAACCATAGGTTTCCTAGTCCAGATACAGTTTCAGGAGAACAGTTGCAATTGACGCATTATAGCACATTTGAAAATGCACGGTTAAAAACAGATTTACCGGTTTTCATAGTTGCCAACGAGGGAAATGCCGTCGGGTCCAGATGTCAAAACTCCGCCCACGCACTGTTTTGACGAAAAAGCATAGTCGCTTTCGAAAGTCAACGCAGAAGACCTAAAAGACGTATTTGAATCAACAATGCAAAAAATTATACAACAAAGCAAATACGAACATCCTCATTTCTTGTACGAAGTAGTCGAGAGGAAAGAGAGTACCGCTGGTGATAATAACTGAACGCAGGCCTGATCTCAAGATCAGCTCCATGCCGACCCCCGCACTGAAACACCAGTGGTTGATCAACAAGGGTCGCCTTGTTATGTTTTTCGTATCAAGGGTAACCAGATTATGATTTGTCTTCACGGTGTCGTCCACGGTTACGTAAACCTGAAGTATACCATGTTAGGTTTTAATAATATCCCGTGAAAAGTCAAAAAAACTCGCCTTAAAGTTTCTGAAGTAATCCTCACAGAATTTAGATGAGGTACAGTGAGCAGCCTCAGATCCAGACATTATCGTACTCAGTAGCGAGGCGAATTTTTGCAGATATACACCGCTACTCTGCCAAAACTTGTTAGTTGCTTAAATAAAAAACTCACAATCTCAAGAGCACTGAAAAGAGGTCGATTTCGTACTTTTCACAGCTAAGTAGCTGGAAATTTTATCGATCAGCTCCAAGATAGGGTCTCGCAGCTCTGATCGAATATTCGAGTTGTTCAGCAGTTCATGAAGAAAGCTACCACCGAACGTTCTGCCTTTCAGTCTCAAATCTTGCGATGAACCATCTCTTACGGTTAAATCTATTTTGTCTATTTCCGCCTCGAAATTGCCCAGTAAAGCTAAGTAAAGAAATGTGCATTAAGTTAAGTGACGGTTAAGCGATAGGATGAATTCTACCGACAAGATGAGCGAGTTCATTGAGGTCGATATCCATACCTCCGTTGTCGTCAGACGCTATATCAACAACGCCGAAAGGTTTGGCAGAATGATCCTAAACAGTGCATTGCGTGCTCTGAACAAACTCATTTAACTTTCTGCATTCAATACCATCTCTTTTCGTAAAGCTTCTTCCTCATTCATCAACTTCTTCAGTACTTCTGTGGCCTCCTTGATACAGCCAGCAACGTCCTTGCTACTGAACGTAAACGAACCGCTGTCTTCACACACCTTCTCCTACAGTATTCATGCGTCATAACTAGATTAAGCACGCGGTACAATTCATTAC